GTTGGTTGGTTGGTTGGTTGGTTGGTTGGTTGGTTGGTTGGTTGGTTGGTTGGTTGGTTGGATGGTTGGTTGGTTGGTTGGTTGGATGGTTGGTTGGTTGGTTTGCTCTATAAGTGTATCCCTAGTGACATACTTGGTCCATCAAGGCTGTAAACAACTACTCCTCCCCAAACAACACTACCAACTGGGGACAAGGTGTTTAAATGCCAGATTCTGTAGAAAACATTTCTCATTCAAACCTATTACATAAAGAAGTCAGAGTTGGAGCCTAGTCGGCTAGGAATATTCTACAAATAAACCCATCAGGACTGAGTCCTTAAGAGTTACATCTAGGAACTCAAAGGACCATCATTTAAATTTCCTTTACAGATATCTGAGCAAACTTAAAACTTAAGTAAAATATTAATATAACTGCTTGTGTTATCACAAAATTTTGTCTTATTACCCAGAGGATGAGCCCTGGGCACATAATAGATACATAATAATCATCAAATAGACAAGTAGATGGATGGGTAGGTGGATGTACAGATGAATAGATGGATGGTCAAATGGATAAAAATACAGTAATTGCTCTGTAAATTGAGCACAGGTTTCCTCATGAATTTATTAAGATATTCAAGTGTTAGATAATGAGGACTTACCCCTCCAAAATTTGGAGAACTTTTTACATGGAATTTGTTCAAAGTTGTCTCCATCTGCCTGGGTATCTCCAGAATCCTTTTTGCTCCTATTCCCCTGCGTAACAAAAGATTGAATCTATCTGATCATATAAAATACACACTGTTACCTGATGTTTTTATATTCATCATACTTCCAATTCAAGAACGCTCATGACTTGGTTGTGTTTTCTCGTAAGTAGTCTCCAACTGTGTTGGAATACATTGGAAGACTGTATTGTTTTAGAACTTCCAGAAAATGAAAATGAAAACAAATGACATAGGGAATAGAGACTCCATTGTGTTTCATCATCAAATTCAACAGACAGGAGAGCGCACGGCCACTAAGTTTCCTTGGACTGCACTAACCAGTTCGAAACTCTCAGATTTTCTGTGTATCTGGTCAGAAAGTCTCCACACTTAACTCCTATAGTTGAACCAACCCGTGGGCTACACTGAGATCCTGCTGGCTTATGTCCAGTTTTCTCCTTGCATTTGCTCAGAGTTAGATGGATTCACTGTGACAGAATTTAAGGTTTTATATCACCTCCTTTACAGAACACTTAACATTAAACCTTTGCCATACAGAATCACTCTGTGTTTTAGAAATTTGTCTCTTGACATTTTCAAACATGAAGGAAGTTATTTTAAACCATTGCATCCTTTACTCCGAATTGATGATTAAAAAAAAAAAAAAGTCAGGAACTAAAAGAAACTAAAAACTCTAAGTAAATGTCTTATTTTCAAAAAGTGAATATTCTTGCTCACATGTGTCTCTGACTCTCACTGGAATACTATTGACTCCTTTCTCTGCTGTGCGGATCGGATGGTGAAGAGGAACGCTGAGGTCGTGCTGGTGCAGGCAGAAGACTGAATAGCTCTTAGTGTGCTGTCCTCTTTGGTGATTGGGTTGTTTTTGGAAGCCAAAAGGAAAAAGAAAAAGAGGCAGTTAAAGGTTATGCCTTATGTATTAGATATTTTTTCTGTGTTTCTACACACACACACACACACCAGAAAAATGAAATAACTTGACAAGTCATAGGCATTAGTTCCATCCAGGAACACAGAGTAAGTTACTCAGAAGTGAACAAGTTGGTGAGCCATGTCCCAGTTCTCACCATAACATTCTCTCCTTATTCCACCAAAAAGGAGAAAATCCCAACGTTCTCCCAGCTAACCAGGACAGTTGTGCAAAAAGGAAAGTTCCCTCTAAAAGCAGCAGTCCCCAACAACACTAGCCTTGCCTCTAAGCCAGAAGTGAAGTCCTTAGAAGATGGGGCATTATTTCCTCGGGATCTCTCTCTTACCTGTGTGTGGGTGTTGGCACTCTTGGAAGTACCTTTTCCATGTTCACTTCCCATTCCCTAGCACAGAGCCTGCTTTGAGCCTGAGGTTCCTGCTTCACGTCGGGAAGGGGCTCTTGCCTCGGTGGTGAAGGCTTCTGGACTGCTGTGGTGACTCGGCCGCCAGCATGAGTTGGTTTTGGCCAGGCAGATGTATGGAAAATTGTTATCATATTCTTTGGCTCTTATACTTTGCAAGTCAGACAAACCAGCAATAGAAAACTAAGACTCTTTCAGGCCAAAGAAGACACTGAATTTCATTAAGCGTTTGGGAGACACTATTGCTCTCTGGGACAAGTCATTCTGTTCTCTGAGTCTCCAGATCTCTAAGTCACACTGAAGAATTCTTCTTAGATTCAGATTTGATGATCACTGTTAAAACATGTATCTGGATTAAATATGAAACGACGTCTGAAGACCAACAGGCTGAGAGCCTCGTCTCCAGCTAGTGGCAATACTTGAAGGACATTGATTCAGACAGATAGTAACCCCATCAATGAGTCAATTCACTGATGAGTTGCTATTAAATGGCTGTCTGTTGATAGGACTGTTAGGTTTTTTTGTTTTTTGTTTTTGTTTTTTTTACAAATGCTAGATTGGCAAAAGAAAAAAAGTCTTTGGTTTGCTGTTTGCAATGATTTTTCTCTGAAAGATGATGAAAGAAAATTTCCTCTTGATATTTCTTTCGACACTCGTGTGTGTGTGTGTGTGTGTGTGTGTGTGTGTGTGTGTGTGTGTGTGTGAAGGGTACATTGGGCATGCTCCATGTTTCCTCAAAGTCCTTTGTGTTCTTCCATTACAAAAGAAGAAAATTACCAGAGTTACTCATGAAACACTGCTGCAGTTGATGCCCACAAATAGGTATTACATGACAAGATGAACAAACATGCAGCCCCAAGGAAATCACTGGATCTACTTATTGTTTGAAATACAGCTTGATGTCAAAAGAAAATGCAAAATAAGTTATGAGTTGAGTTATATGCAGCATATGAGACTTTGAGAGAAACAGACTTTAGGGACGTGAAATCCTCAACAAAAATGACAAGCTTCCCTCTTCCTTGCAGCATTTTCTTGAATGAGGAGCCTGTCTAGCAGCTGCTTTGGCTCAGTTCGAGATGCCTTCACGTGGGTGTTACGCATCTGGGGAGCCTTGTTGGAGGACTGTGGAGAGATTATAGGTCTTTAATGACGGCTTGCAAAGCTTCCAGGGTTCTTGGGAGACGACAGGAAATGCTAATTTAAAAATAGTTCTCCAAGCCATGGAAGAAGAGACAAGAAATACAAAAGCGTTTTTTAATCTGTGGGCTACTTCTGAGGAGATGGGGAAGGAGTGGATCTGGGGTCAGTACACAGGAAACTCTTTTAAGAGATGGCTGGATGCAGGGCCTCTCTCTCTTTCAGAAGTCTTCCCAAATAATTTCAGAGAGAAAAAGTCCTCTCTTAAATAAAAAGTCTGATTCAGAGGGAAGAGAACTGAGGAAGTCTCTGAAAAATCAGAACGCTCTCATCAAAATAATTTCCTTAGAATATTTTTAAAGCTCTGATTGCAACTAAGAAAACAGAGAATGACCTATAGATTCTGATAGTTTACATCTTAAATTAATATAGTTTTTTTGTCCATTAATTATTTTCTGGGTCCAATTTGTATTTTCTAGTCTTGCTTTTGGAGGGAGACAGGTTTTCATGTAGCACAGGCTGTGCTGAGACGTCCTGCTTAGCTGAGGATGGTGGTGAGTCTCTAAGGTCAGGCCTCCACCTTGCTGTGGGAATGCTGGCATTACAGGCTTGTGTCAGCTTCATGCAGTACCAGGGCTTCAAGCTGGGCCTTCTGCACCAACAGCTGGCGCTGTCTCTAAAACATCACACCCCCAGTCCCTGATTTTTAAATTCTAAAATCTTGCAAAAACCACTACCCAAGTCACACGTTAATGTACTGTCTCTGTAAGTTGCTCACAGCAATCCTCATTGCCACTGGTATATTTTTAGCTACCCTTGGGGCTTTTTTCCCCCTTGATAAAATAATAACATGCCTTTCATTTTTTGCAGGGTGGTTGGGAAAAATTTAAATGTTGGCTTCAGCTAAGATGGCTCTGTTAAAGAAGGGTCAATCCTCTGTCCATCAAGGTTGTTTGCAACCTTGCAAACAACAAGAAAGAGTTGGTGCAGACCCTGCTAGCAGTGACAAACATTGTCTTATTGATACAATGGACTGAAAGGCAACTTTCTTCCCTTTACAGCTTCCATGCGGTAGGGGTGGTTCAAGTCCTTTGCTCTGTTTCCACTGAGCACTGGAATTTGTGACATAGTCTGTGCTCTTTGAGTGAACGCTACTTTCAAAGACACTTTCTACACTGTAGAAATCTGGTTTTCTTTGATGAGCAGTCCATCTGGCTGTGGAGTAAATGAGACTTCTGGGAACAAGCATCTGCTTTGACCTGCTTGCCGCGGTGCTGAGTTTCTTTGACTGCCAGGTCTCAGCGTCCCTGGCCTCCTATTCTCAACTACCCCAAAGAGCCGCCTTCTGGGTGGGAGAGGCCTGGCTGCTGCTTCTCTTTGCTTTTGCTTGGTTTCTAAGTATCGCACACCCTATGCCTTGCCTCGATAAAAGCTTTATGTCCTTTATGCAGAAAGGTAATTTTGCTTAATGACCTACTATTTAAAATGAGGACCACAGGGAAATGATTAGGAATTTTGATGTACACATTTGTAGAATGGTATGCAACCATTGAGCATACAAAGTTTATAATAAAGAGGACAAATGCTACACATTAACCAGGGAGGAAACTAAATTGTATAAATAATATTGTAATGCTAAAAAGGGGAGACACTTGAATCTCACTAAGAAGGGTTGGATGAAGGAAGGGGTGTGTTGGGGGACAGGAGGGATGAAGTAGGGGTAGGACAGAGAGAACTGGAGTGAGTGGTGGTGGGGAGCAAGGGGGAGGAGCTGTGCTTGAGATGTAAAGGCTAATTAATAAAAATTTCTACTTCTCTTTAAAAACTTATTATTGAAAAGGGTGAAAGAAAAAAGAAAAACGATTAAGTTATGGTTGACAGAAAGTGGTAAAACCATCAGCAAAATCCATACCATGTTCTAAAATGTTCTGTAACAGGGATGATTTTGTTCTTGTTGTTTTGTTTTTTGGTTTTTGAGACAGGGTTTCACTGTGTAGCCTTGGCTGACCTGGACTTGCTTTGTAGACCAGGCTGGCCTCAAAGTCAAAAAGATCAGCCCTCCTCTGCCTCCCCGAGTGCTGGGATCACAGGTGTGTGCCTCTGCACCTGGCAACAGATGTGAGTTTTAAACTTCCAACATAAGTTAAAAATGTCAATACTTTTTCTTTTTAAATAAAACTGATCATGATCAGATCCTTTTTTGTTTTCTCACACCTTGAAGGATCCAGTCCCAATTCTGTAAATAAAGGAGAAGAGGTGTGTAGACAGAAGATGTGGTCTAGCTCCCCCGGTTTCACAGAAGAACATAGGGTAATTAAGACACGATTAACAGATAACTAATTGAGAGCACTGTTTACTTTAGGTAATGTCATATTCCAAATCTGTTTTTGACAACAGAAACCACAATTTTTCAATAAACCTTCTCTCAGTGTAAATATAGGACATGGTTGAAAATGCTCAACTGAGACACTCTATATGTCAGGCCTCTCTACACCCTAGGGCAAGATATGAGAGATAAACAACTTATGAGAAGAAGATGCACAAGCCTCCACTCCTAGATGAAGAGCCTCAGGCAATTAGTAGCTGCTCATCAGAGAAGACTCAGTCTTCCTCAGGGAGGAGGGAGCCCTGATAGGTGATCAATCCTAAGTAAATGGATTGATTTAGCTCTAAATATGTGCATATACAAGCAACCTTACACGGACTCAGGTGCTGGATTTGTAGTGTGTGTGTGTGTGTGTGTGTGTGTGTGTGTGTGTGTGTGTGTGTATACAGGTAACAATAATAAAGAGAAAGAGGTCGTGAGTTTGAGGGGGAGCATGGGAGAAAACAAGGAAAGAGTTGGCGCTGAGAGAGGGGTAAAGAAGATGTAAATACAGTACTCATGCATGAAATGCTCAAAAAATGAAAATGCAAAAACATTGAAATTATATTTATTTGTGTATCTTTACATGCTTGTGTGTCTATGTGTCTATGTATGTCTATGTGCATGTATGTGTCTATGTGTATGTGTGAGTGTAAAGTATTCAGCTAGAACCTCCATACCTTGCCTTGCCTTTGGCAGTATGTGTGTTTATGTGTATGTGTGTGTATGTAAGCCAAACTATGCACATGAAGATCAAAGAACAATTTGAAAGTTTCTCTCTCCTTCTACCATGTGGGATACAGGGGTTGAACTCAGGTCGTCAGGGTTGGTGACAAACACTGAGCGCTCCTGCTGGCCTGAGGCACTTCTGCCTATCAACAGATTCATTGTTGATGGTATTTAAGTGTTGATGATATACTGTTGAGGAACATTTAAAATAAAAGATCTAACAATCCTAGTTTTATAACCAATGATACAAATGTCCAGACTCTAACTGTAAAACAACTGATAA